AACAGTAAAACCATTATAAACTCAATGAAAGCTAGCTAGCAGTTAGAACCAATATAAAGGTAACACTAAATAGCTTTTCAAGACTTTTTAAATCCTCTTAAAATGCTATTATCTGGAACCCAATTGTTGGCCTGCCACTGAAAAAGTATCTTCCTCAAATTCACCAATCACAGGTATGTTGGAAAAGTGGATTTTAGCATTTTTAAACATTTTTAAAAGTTACTTGAAAGTCACTTAAGTTTTTATATTTTAAAATCAGCACCGAACCCTTAGACTTGGAATTAAATTAGAAACCTATGCAACTATGTAATAAAGGTATCATTGACCAGTTGGAATTTTCCAGCAGTTTCCCTACATTGACTGGTTTAAATTGCAGTTTTGTTCATTGTTCCTCCTATACTGTAAGTGCCAAGATACTGGTTCAAAATCTTATATAGGAGTCATTATAAAAGTCAGGTCTAAATAAGCATCAAGTTTAGGTCCAAAGGGGAGTTTCAGATAGATGTTTAAAAGCAAAGAAACAGCATTTCAATGGGGTGAAGAAAAGATCATTGATCACTACTTTCTAAAACTTTCAGCAGAGTGGGAAACTTTATACTTTTTCCTCTCATCCTGTAGCAGCAACTCTATTGTACTATAATTACGAAAAGTATAAATTATGGAACAGAGTGAACTATTTTCATGGTAACTACAACTGAAACAGCTAGTAATCTCTAGCAATCTAGAGCCAGGAACAAGGAATATACTCCTACTGTAGAATTAACCTTACATGGTTATAAATATTGCTCCATCATTCAATAATTGTTCAACTTGCTGTCAACATCCAGCTCAAAAATCCAAATAAAACTCCAGATTAATTCCGTTTCCAAAATCTTAAGGTTTATTGAATACCCTGCATGGTTATGTCGAATCAAAGCTAACTCTGAGGCTCCCATGCCAGTTCATAGACTTAAACAATAGTTTTCCAAGCCAAACCCCCAACGTCTTATGCAATCCATATCAACAAGTTAACTTTGTTACGGGAACCATCAGCTTCAAATCCACACTTGTTCTGGTGTCCTTGACAAGGCTTCAGACTCCCATGGTCTGCAGATGAATCGAAGAAGCTTCATTTCTCCATCTACCCACTTGAAAGTAACATCTCATCCCCTTATCTAAGGCAAGTTTAAATACAGAGGCATGTAACTGCCAAAGTTTCACACTTGACATTGGCTTTCTTATATTGAAGGCAAAATTCCTTGATGCATTGTAGACTATTGTGATACTTTCCCCAAAGTATTGCTTTTATAGTTTAGTAATTTACACTTGATGCTGACAAAAGGAAAACTAAAAGCAACCTAGGCAGCTGTCTGACTGCTTATAGATGGGGAAATGACAAATATTGGTAAAAGTTGCAAAGAAGCTAGCTATTTGAAAAGACATTGTCTTTTTAATGAGTATTGAAAAATTTTATTTGGGGAATGTTAAAAGGAAATACAATATTATGAACAATCACAACCCAGGCCTGTTCCCTATGTTTCTGTTTGTTTTATAATTACAGTATTTACAGATTGAATAAGGCACTGGTTCTCACATGGACACAAATCAGTATCGTTAAAAAAATCACATCATCCATCTTCCTTGAACTGCATTAACAAACATTAAATCATTATTCATCTCAAACTTCCTATCCTCTCAATGTAACTGATAGTCAGACAACTTTTTTTTTACTTGGTATTCTTTGAAGAAATTGAAATAACCATGTCCAGGCATTCTCCCCTTTGGCCTGATATAAATTTGTAGTCATGAAATATAATAGGTCCTTAGACAAAATATCCATTGTGGACAGCAGTTTGAATCATTCATACCTGACTCTATGTGCAATTCATTTTTGGAACAAAACGAAGAAAAATTATGGTATCTTTTCATGGCTTTTTGTTTTCAGATCACAGTATCACTGTGAAGATTCACTATTGTGTTTTCATAAATTAAAGTTTTATTTCCACTGTTATTGGCTATTTTATAACACCTTACATTTAATATTCCAAATCCCAACAGTCTGAGATACAAACAAATATATATATTTAAATCCAGGCACCTGGACAGATGTAAATCACACAAATATTCAACTTGAGGATATTGTCACTTGAAGACCATTTCTTTCAAAAATAGCTTTAAGGTTAGCAGTGAAATGATTTACAGATTTTGAGACTTTTAGAAACATTTTGAGAGAAAGACATAAAGGACTTTCTTTGAGCCCTGAGAGGATTTGACTTGATAAGTCAATTATTGTGGACATTTATTCCAAAATTTCCAAAGTAACATCTGCAAATTCTGGTAGTTTGCTAATTAAGACTAAGTAGTAAAGAATAACTACATATGGGAGCAATGAAGATAATGCAACTTGACTATAAATATTGTGTAGGGGCTAATAGGTTTCCTTAGCACTTTATTCTACTTTGAAATGGAATATTTTTCTACAAGTTATTAACATGTACTTTAAATTAAGGAATAGACCCAAATTAAATTGAGGGATCTATACCTCCGGGAAATGAAAGATATCTTGGAGATATGCAGTTTAATTGCAGTAGTTTAACCCAGGTATGATGCAATCAGAGTTTAAATTGGTTGTATATCTCTTGGTTCAAACCATGTAGACGATTCTTTAGAGATTTGAATTCTTAGCTTCCATTAAGCTAATCACAACCATGGCTTGGGTAATTTATGGAAGCCAGCTGTCAAGACACCAGGCACCCAGGAGAAAGAGTACAACTTATGAAGAGACTTGGTTTGTGCATGATCAACTCTGCTTTGGAACAGAAGTGTTCATGTAAAAGCAGCTAATAGCTTCAGAAGTCAAATTGCTTTTAGAATAGCCTATAAATTACTCCAAATCAATGAGAATAAGTCATGCTTAACTGAATGCAGCAGTAAGTCCATACAGGTTTTAAAAGCATGGAGGCTCTGTGCTGTATTTAATTAATGAATCTTTCTAGTTGGCTTTGTTTTCTTCGAGACTGAATGTAGAAATTCCTTCATATTACTAAAAGTGCCATTGTAAAAGAATGCACTAATGAACACGATCCATCCAAATATAGCATATTCATCTCTGAAATTCAGTGTTAGAAATAATTTTTAACTATCGTTTATATTTGCTTTCATTCCAATAATTTATACCAAGGTAACTTCGCTTACATCCACGCATCTTACAAAGAGAAAGGAAATTCAGTAGTTATCTGACCTGTAGAATTCTAACAATTTCATAGATGAAGATTGGTTTAAAAAATGTCCTAATACATTGCTTTTAGCTTCTGCATTTTGGTCTGTGACCGCAAAATAAAAATTATTATTATACATTGCTTTTAGAATGACAAAATGCATGGTGCCTCCTAGTTTTCAATTTCTCTCAGTGAAAGGCAAGGCAGAAAATCTCAGGTCCTCAAATCTATATTTTCCCATTCTATTCTGAAAACCCAGCCAATCTGTGGTTCTGTCATTTAAAATTACTCCTCAGAAAAATTGCTTTAAAAATTACATCAACATTAATATGAATATTGAGAAACTTTTATTAAATTTATATGCTCCCATCTCACAGTCTACAGCATCTCTGGGCAGCTAAGAAATATTTGGAGTGGGGTTATAATCAGGTCACAAAGATGTATCTTTCTTATATGTATCCCATTTATAGCTCTTTTTACTGTTTTGTGAATTTTTTTAAATGAGCAATTCTTATTTAAAATAGTTCATCAAAAGGTAGAAAACTGTACACATTCTGAAACAAGATTAAGACAGGCTGAGATCCATGTTTAAAACTATTTCTGCAATATACTGAAACTAGCAAAATTCGTTTAAAAATGCAAAATTGAGAGAAAGCATCACAGGAATTCTGAAATATGCAGATATTTGCATCTTGGCTCAAAATCTTAAATAACATTATCCTTTTTCACCTAAACTATGGGATTCTGTCCAATTTATATATTTTTTTTAAAAAATAAATAAATAAAAAGAAACGGAGAGAAAAGTTTTTTCCTCTAGGAACATTTCTATCAACACAGTTTATTTTAACTCAATTACCTTAAGGCAAAAAGTTTTTAATGCAATTTTGGGAACAGTTTCATTTATCATTGAAATGCTAGTGAGAATACAAAAGTTCAACCTTTAACAAATGTTCTGTAAGACATTCCTTTCAAAACACGGAGTGTAAAATGCCAAAAAAATAGTCAAAATGACCCCAAGGGCACAGGCCTCTGTCAGAATAACTTGCATAAGTCCCATTAAGTGAATAACTATATCCTGATATCACTCTCATATTTCCAGGAGTAGAGGATACACCCTATGGGTATGACCAAAGCCCATGTTTCTACAAGTATCACAACTTGGAATTGGCTAAGAAAAATGTGTTGTGATGACATGCTCCTGCAAGTTTCGTGAATGTAAAATGTTAAAAAGTTATGCACAGGAACTGCATGACAATATCTTGTGTATTCAAGGCACTGCTTGGCTGCAATTTCATGGGTGAGCCTATTTTCCAGGTGTAGCATGCATCCTACATAACAAGTTAAAATTGGATTTGGGTCATTTTAAGAGTGCAACACATTTTTCTATCAGTAGAAAGTAATAGGACTTTGGATGCAATTTTTTTTTTAGGCGTTAGAAAATAATTATTTCCTTGGACTTTGTAACTGCAATGATTCATTCCCATGAAAATTAAAAAACTTCAAATATTAATAACAATATTAATAATAAAGGCTTTCACAGAAAGCAGCATATATAGTCTAGAAACAATTATCGATACATTGGCTTGCTTCAATCTCCAAGGTAGCTAAAAGTCTTCTTTGTCTGGCCATACAGGAACCAAAAAATTCTCGACTGGGCCACGTTTCTTTCCCCTGGAAAGGTTTCTGCCTCAGTGCGCAAATGCTTTGCCAAAATCTGCATTCAAGGTTCATATTACCGAAGGCATGTCATTCTTCTTCCTGTCTCTTTGAGACACAGAAGGAAAGTCCATTTTTTCTGAGCTTTAGCTTTTGTTAGCTGAATCAAAGCTTAATGTCCTGTGACTCTGACATTTTGGCAAGTGTTTTCTTTACTCGCAGGGCTGTCAGCCGAGAAGCCGGGTTGTGAGCCCAGCATTCAGTCATTAATTTTCTCATTTGTCGTAGGCACTGTGAAAAAAAAATAGGTATATATATATATATATATATATATATTAATCTCTCTCTCATATCAAGAATATTTCAATGGCCAATATTACATATTTGGAGTTATAGACGGAACACTTCAATATGACTGAAAAATCTATTCTAAATAAAAGAACTCCTGTGAGCAAGGAAATTTACATGAAAACAGTCGCATTTTTTGCTCTTTGCTCTGATTATGTAGCTGTTACTAGATCTTTGTGTATAATTCTGTTTAGACTTGGCCTCTGAGAGATTCCCATTCTCCTTCAAAATGAGACTACATTTGTTCTCGAAGCATTTGATGGTTTTACATCAAACAACAATCTGTGAAGATTACACCGAAACTTTCTAAGACAGCTGTAGTTAGGATAAATACCCTGTTTTCTTCCAACATGTATTCAATAGCATCATATCTCTTAAAATATTGGGGATAGGAAGATATTTCAGGGGCTGGTTTGAACTTATAATAAGAAACCTGCAACTTATAGAACATAACTACTCAGTTTCATGCTATTTTAAACCCCGAATTTCTAGGTTAAATTGCTGAAGATTACAAAGAAGTCAGAAAATGTAGTAAATAAACATCTCTGTGGAATTTTTGCAATTTATTACATTTTTTCACTTTTTTAAAAAGCCCACTTTGCCTATGCTCCCACCATCACTCACTCAAGATTGTTTACAACTCTTGCCATTTTTAAGTCTTTTTAAATCTAATTGCAGAATACTTAAGCAAAGACTGCTATTCCCAAATCACAGCTGTCTCCTACAATAATAGCATTACACTGTACCACTTAACAAGATTAATGACCTCTGCATAGCATCACCATAACTGTCGGCAGATTTGTCTGCAATACATCAATTACTGGTCTACTGATTCCAAAACACAATTTTGCTTCATTATAAATTCTCTGTGGAAAGTGTACAGACTTTCTCCCTCCTCCCCTTAAGGAAAATATCAGTATATTAGCTTCAGAAAAGCAATTTCCCATATTAATTTACAAAAGTAGAAATAAGGAGCAGAAAACTCACTGCACTCCCAGACTATCTTTTGCAGAGCTACTATGCTATTTAGTCAGCTTGTAAAATAATGTATATGTATCCATATTCTACAAAGAATTTAGCTAGGACTGTGTCTGGGAGAATATAAAGGGCACATAAAAAACCGCAATTCCCTAGATTCCTTCTTTGAAAAGTAGGAGATCCTTATATCATATGAGCCAGTAGTTATCCAGCCCAGGTTCTCATCTTCCTACTTATCAATCCATCTCAATTCCTTATCACACAAAGTTTGGCCATTCTAGTTAGGAATTCATAGGGTTAAGATTTCCTCACAAACCCAAGTTGAAGAATTAAACCCATTCGGTCAACAGTGTACTAAAAGCTAGCCATGCCTAGAAATGGGTTGGATGATTGTTTTGTTCATGAGAACAAACTATTGCAATATTTCAAGCAAATATGTCAAACCACTGGAGCAGACTAGAGTATAAAAGTTACAAATACTTTTATTGATTAAGGTAACAGTGCTTTTAAGTTCAACCTGACTCCTATTCAACAACAATCCATCAATGCTTTAGAAGGGCCTTTTCTACTTCCTTTTTCTAGGATTTTTTTTTTAAAATTTCTCACTCTAAGCCACACCTCTGGTTTTCCATTATGATTAGGGTTAGAATCTATTTTTTGTGCCTACATTTTATTAAATAATTTTCAAAAGCATTCAGTACAGGTAGTCCTTGACTTACAACAGCTTGTTTAGTGACCGTTCAAAGTTACAACAGCATTGAAAAAAGTGACTCGTGACCTTTTTTCACACTTACGACCCTTGCAGCATCCCCATGGTCACGTGATCCAGATCCAGACGCTTGGCAACTGACTTATATTTATGACGGTTTCAATGACTCAGGGTCATGTGATTCCCTTTTGCAACCTTCGCTCAATGGGGAAGTCAGATTCATTTAACAACTGTGTTGCTAACTTAACACTGCTAACTGAACACTGATTCACTTAACAACTGTGGCAAGAAATGTTGTAAAATGGGGAAAAATTCACTTAACAATTATGGTCATAAGTCGAGCACTACCTGTAATGGATTGACTGAAAAGAAAATACTTCCCTAAAGTATGGGTAGTGTCCTAACATTTAGGTATTCCTTTTCTTCATTTTAAGCATGTGATTCAATTTTTTTTGAAAATGGTCTCCTTACCTCATCACTGCTCCATCTATTGGGAAATGAAGGGCGTAATCTCTTGATACATACTATTTCTCTCATGTCTTCATATGAAGGGTCACTGGAAACAAGGTCATGATAAGGAAGCTGATATTCCTCAAAAATACCTAGCATGGCAAATATATAAATTATGTCCAATTGAACATTCCTGTGGGGTTAAGAACTTACAAATTTAACTAAACTCAACATAGATATGGATAGCAGCAGGAAATAAAAATCAATCTATATTTTACTCTGATCAATATGGTGAAAGAGAATTTATTGTAGAAAGTTGCTCCGGAAATCAAGAAAGACACGTAGTGATTCTTCGAAGCAGATTTATCAATTCACACCTATAGACAAAATCTTGCCTAACTGAAGCAGACTATACCTACATGAAACAAATACTCTGGGAATATTGGGCAGGGGCTGCCTTCACCCCTCTCTAATTATTCGTCATCAAAGATGATGAGCCTTTGGGGCGCAGTGGTTAGAATGCAGTATTGCAGGCAAACTCCACCCATAGCCTGGAGTTTAATCCAGATGGGGCTCAGCCTTCCATCCTTCCAAGGTCAGTAAAATGAGGAATCAGATCGTTAGGGACAATATGCTGACATTTTTAAACCGCCCAGAGAGTGCTGTAAAGCACTGTGAGGCAGTATATAAAACTAAGTGCTATTGCTAAAGCTGAAGGCACTTTTCCAGTAATGTGTTTGTAAGTCCCATTACCAAACCTTTAGAAATAAAATTAGGACCTGGTCTTTTCCAAGATTAATCTGTCCTAATTTTTAGTAATTGAAAGTGCTACCAAAATGCCCAACTTCCTTTTTTAGGTGACTTCAGATTATTAGAATAGATCTACATGCTAGGCCCCTTTAAAAAGGATACCACAATATGCCAATTTCAGTTTACAAACATTTAAACATTAAACAGTCATAAGAAAAAGAACAGAATAAAAAAAAAAATAGGATTAGCATTCCAAATCTTCCTGAATCCAGAATTAATTTTCTATCAGGATACGTGTTCCCTCCTACACACTTGCAGGCCTTCTAAAGCCAAATAACACCTGTAGTGCCTATATTTCTGCTCTTAAATTTAATCTCCTTGTTAATCATGGTACCTAAGTAAAATCAACCTCATTGTATTTTTGCTCAAACAACAGCTGTTCTCTTGCTTTAGCAGTAATTTTTATAACCACAAGAGTTCCCATAAATGAACTCCAAATTCCCACTACAATTATGAAATATGGCATCTTTAAAAGAGTCTATTAAAATAGAGAATAAATCTTTATGGGCTAAGTAAGACCTTCCAGAAAAGGAATAATAAGTCCCAAGAGTAGAAAGGGACTTAGTTTAGTGCCACCAATTATTTTTACAACGCTATTATAATTCTTTTTCTTTCTTGTTAAAAAAAAACCCCAAATGTTTTCTGGAGAATAGTTTGTATTAACCGGCTGCAGCAAAAATAAATTTTATGGCACCTTAAAAATCTAATTACAGGTAGTCCTTGGCTTACAAACCCATTTGTTTGGTAACCGTTCGAGGTTACAAGGGAAGTGAAAAAAATGACTTACAACTGGTCCTTGTACTTATAGTCCAGTGATGGCAAACCTTTTAGAGACCAAGTGCACAAAAACTTCCCCACCCTGCCCCTTACTGCCACTTACTGCCTCCACAGCCTGCTGCAGACTGCCCAGGCGCCCCTGCAAGCCATGGTGGCCACACCTTCCACCCACACCCCACAGCATCATCCACACGCGATGGGACGCAAGGGCAGAGTCTTGTCCCTACTGCCCGATTGCCATGTCCTTGGCTGTGCTGCTCCATGCGGGACGCCCCCTCGGGCAACTCTCCTCCGGAGGGGCTGTTGGTGAGGAGGGGGCTGGGGCAACGGCGCGCGTGCCCAGAGAGGGGGCTCTCAGTGTCGCCTCTGGCACGCGTGCCATAGGTTCGCCACCACTGTTATAGTCCCTGCAATCAGATGATTGGGCTTTTGGCAGCTGGCATATATTCATGATGGCTACAGCATCCTGGGATCATGTGAATGTCATCTGTGATCTTCCCAGCCAGCTTTCCAGCAAGTAAGCCGATAGAAGAAGTCAGACTTGCTTAACGACCACATAGTTAACTTATCCACTGCAGTAATTCACTTAACAATTATGGCAAATAGGGTCGTAAAAGTCAGGGGTGACTTGTTTAACAACTGCCTTGCCTTTACCTAGAGGTGATCATTAAGTCGAGGACTACGTGTAATACATTCCAACATGAACTTTGTACTGTAGATACTGAAAGCTGATAATGTACTGTTAAAGGCATGCAGCCATGCCTAAAATATTTACCTCCGGAAACACATCTCCTTGCTATTTCCCAAAGGATGAGTCCAAAGCTGTACATATCAGCCATAATATATGACTGAAAGTGATTTCGATTCAAGCTTTCATCCAGCACTTCTGGGGGCATGTAACGTTTGGTTCCCACTCTGGTGTTTGGTGGGATATCCACTTCATTTGTATCACTGTAAAATGGGGGGGGGAGTGTTTAAAGACACAAAAGTTAAGTATGCAGTTTCTCTTCAAAAACCAAAACTGCTATTAAAAGAGAAATACCCATTCACATTACATTAAGCGTTCAATTGCAAAATTCAGAATTCAGCAGAGGATGCTGGAGATTTTTCTGAGAGTTTGTGGGCAACAAATTGGAATTCTGATGCTGGGGTTTATAATTTTATTTCTCTTACAAGTACCTTAAGGTGCCTCAGATGCTAAGGCTTTCATGGAGGGTAACAAAAAACTAAATAATTACTCTTCATAATCTTAAAGAAGATATACTGTGGATATAAGATACATAGCTAATAAAAATGTTTAGTAACGGAACCATCTATATTAATGTGTCTGCATCACCATCAGAATCAGAATTGAGATGGAAGGGACCCTGGAGACTCTATACCATTTCAGACAAATGGTTCTTCTTAAAAACTTCCAATGATGAAGCACCTACAACTTTTGAAGGCAAGCTGTTCCACTGGTTATTATTCCCACTATTAGGAAGTTTCTCTTTAATTCCAGGTTGCTTTTCTCCTTGATTAGTTTCCTTCCATTGTTTCTCGTCCTGCCTTCTGGTGCTTCGGAAAATAAGTTGATTCCCCTTGTCTTTGTGGCAGCCCCTCAAATACTGCAATACTGCTATCATGTCACCCCTAGTCCTTCTTTTCACTAGATTAGACATACCCAATTCCTGCAACTGTTCTTCATATGTTTTAGTCTCCAGGCCTTTAATCATCTTAGTTGCTCTTCTTTCCACTTTTTCCAAAGTCTTGACATCGTTTTTGTAACGTGGTGACCAAAACTGGATGCAGTATTCAAAGTGTGGCCTTATCTCACATGCACCTGTGCTGTGGCAGTATAATTCAAACTACTGAAGAGACAGTCTTCATTTGAAAATATATTAGTTGAAACTGGTTTATTCTTGTGACGCCACAAAATTCACACACCCTGCCACTCTACTCCTTCTAGTGAGTAGTATCATCATAGGAGAGCTTCAAGTGGCCTTCTGAAATGGTACTTCTCAAAATTGTTCACTCCTACCACAAAAGACTGGTTGCTAGAGAGGATGGACAGCATTTCAAAGATCTATATAACTTTCTCCCTTTTTTTCTCTTTAAAAAAATGTTTAACAGACTTAGCTTCATTAAGGCATGCAGTATTTTACCCACCTAATGAATTTAACCGCCAGACCAAGATCTGCTACACAGCAAGTTCCATTTTTCTTCACCAGAATGTTTTTACTTTTGAGGTCCCGATGAGCAATTGCTGGTTTGCCTTGGGTGCTGAAGATCTCAGTATGCAAGTGGCACAGTCCACTGATAGAGGAATATGCCAATTTCAGCATTGCTTTTGTATCCAAGGTAGTAGATTTTAGGTAATCATACAGAGATCCGTTTTCATGATAATCGGTGATAAGATAAAGCTGTGTCCAAGATCCGGTTCCTTTAATATCTGCAGCAATGAATCCTGTAAGAGAAAATTAAAACAAGACTTTTCTAAAAGATAAAGGTAAAGGTTGCCCCTATCCAATCATATCTAACTCTAGGGAGCAGTGCTCATCTCCGTTTCTTAGCTGAGGGAGCCATCATTGTCTGAAGACACTTCCGTGATCATGTGGCACCAGCACGTTAATATGCCAAAGGAGCACGGAACACCGTTACCTTCCCATTGAAGTGGTACCTATTTATCTACTTGCTTTTGTATGTTTTCAAATTGCTAGGTGGGCGGGAGCTGGGGCAAGTAATGGAAGCTCACCCCATCACATAGCACTCAGATCTCAAACCCAGCTTTCCAGCTGACAAACTCAACATCTTTAACTGCTGAATCATTGTGCCCCCTTAAGACTTTTCTAATATCATTAGTAATTTTAAGAAACAGAAAACCCAGATCCCCTAGCACATAAACATTTAAATGGCATAACATTTAATAATTACAATAAATCCTTAGCATTGCAATGTAGCACCCTATGCTCAGTACAGTTCATTAGAATGTGATAGATTCTGAATTCTTTGTATTTAATCCAAAAGTACATTAATATATTAAACTGTATAATAACACCGTTATTATCAATACTTAAGGTTATTAAGAAATTGTAGGACAGGTTTGTATTAGAGTAAGATTTGCAGCCAACACATTGTAAACATTGTCTTTGGTGTCCAATATATCTGAAAAAATATTAATCTCATCTTAATATCACAATATCACATACTCCATAGTCTTTTAGCCATTAAATAGTCTATTTTAAAAATAGTTTTTATTCCAGGATTCTTATTCATATAATTTACAATAATTTTAACTCAGCTCAGTCACATCAGGAAAACTAATGCTTTTATTTAATTGCCATTTGATCTTTACTAAATAGCATTTGCTTCTGAACTAATGAAAGCTTTTTCTGTAGAGGAAGATCTGGAACTATCAGTATCTTCTTTGCTTTCTATTCAAGGATTCCAACTTTTTATGACAAACGCAGAACATAGTCCCGTACTATAAATCTTTGAAATCTCACAAGAATGCTAGATTATATGAAAAAAATGGAAATAGAAGCCCAGCTATAAACAGGTTCAGTTGCAAGCTTATATTCTGGCTGCAATGATAAAAAAAATATCTTAAATACTTATTTTTCCCTGAAAGGAAAATGGTAAAATCTGAAAGAAAGATAATAGCCATAGAAATAGTGCTTTTCAGCCCTTTCTAAGCAGTTTACAGAGTCAATATATTGGCCCCAACAATCTGGGTCCTCATTTTACTGACTTTGGAAAGATGGAAGGCTGAGTCAACCTTGAGCCGGTGAGATTCAAACTGCCAAACTGCTGGTAGCCAGCAGTCAGCAGAAGTACCCTGCAGTACTGTATTCTAACCATTGCACCACTAAATATATTATTTTTCTTTCTGTTTTATCTTTCTGCTTAAAAGCAATGCTCAACCTACCTCGAGCTATAATCAGGTTGGAAACAAAAGTGAATAATTATTTTTCTGTCCCCCTTTTTGCTTTCTTTTTTTTGTTTACTCTCTTTTACCCCTTCCTCCCAATTTGGACTGTCAGGGAGAAAGAGACAGTTCTTTCCAAGTTGAAAACTAATTATTTGTGAGTGCTGTCATTCTTCCCATTGCTCCATTTGTGGCACTATTTCTATCCTTTCCAAGGTTTTAACAAAGTGCATTATATCTCCTTCTGTCATTCTGTCCATTTCAGTCCCCATACACTCCATAGACTGCCTGTCTCTTACTCTTTATATTATGTAGTGTTTTTCTTTTGTCTTCCTTGAAATGAAATGACTGTGACAGAAGATGTAGGTGATCGAAACAAGCTCTCATTTTTCTTCTCTGTGTATTTTAATTCAAAACTAGAGTCTTATCTTTTGGTCCCAGGTCTTTAACTTTAAGGCAGACTTGTGGACTTCAATTCCCAGAATTCCTCAGCCAGGCATGCTGGCTGAGGAATTCTGGGAGTTGAAGTCCACAAGTCATAAAAGGACCAAGTTTGAAGACCCCTGCCTTAAGGGAAGATAACGTTTGTCAGCATGTTTACTAGTGGTATTGGTGCTTCTGGTATGGGTTTTTTTCTTCAACTTCTTCAAAGTTCAATTTAAATAAAAATGTCCTGATGCTGGAATTAAATTAGGAGTGCAGTGTTTCTCAACCTTGACAATTTTAAGGCATGTGGACTTCAACTCCCAGAATTCCACAACCAGCAATGCTGGCTGTGGAATTCTGGGAGTTGAAGTCCACATGCCTTAAAATTGTCAAGGTTGAGAAACACTGAGTTAGACGAATGTATTTGCATTTTCCACAGTTCCCAAGGTACTAAGACCTGGAATCCATTTCTGGTCTCTTCAGCAAAAGTAAGATTGGTTTACCGTCACAGATGAGAACGGTTTGAACTGCCATCTTGCTGAATTAGAGCATTTGAAGGCTAAGATGTGGAATATAACATTTTCACCAAAGTCATCCTGCTTTCTCCAGATTGTTTTATGCTGTACATTTCTTTCTAAGTACAAAATCTTACATGTACAAAATGTACACCCTGGGGTTTTTAGGTTTATTATACAAATCTAAAATTTGGCCCCAAACAGATAAATATAGATTAAAAGAAGAAAATCTAATTTTTAAAAATGATTTGATAAATTTATTATTTCCCTTTGTTGTCTCTCAGCTGAGTACAGTATATAGTGTTGTGGCTAAAACTGACAACATAAGATATGATTTTGAATTCACTGGTACTTTTCCTGTTATCTCATTTGTGATTTTAAAGTGGATTGGAAAAATTAACCTGCAATATGAAAATTACTTGCGTGGAATAAATGCCAATTATTTCATGCATATGGTTCCCAGCAGTGACCAGTCTATCTGTTTTTGTAAAACAAATTAAAGTACCTGGTCTAGCGCCTAATCTTCAAAACCCACATAAGAACACCTAGTGTGTACTTTATCTGCTGCAGTACTGCAGCAGTTTGTCATGTGGCTTTTTCTAAAATAATAAGCTGGCATGGTTATGGGGTTATGTTAAAGCAAAGAAAATAAACAACACAGTTCTAACTCTCAGTTGCAAAAAAGTTGCAATTTTTACCTCTTTTTGAAGAGATAACAACCAACATGTTCACCTCAGGAGAGTAGTAACAAATAATTGAAACATATTTAAAATATTCCATAAAAAACTTTCAATGTAGATGTAGTGATTCAGTTTCCCACTGGAAGTGATGCTTTAGGCCAGTGATAGCGAACCTTTTAAACACCAAGTGCCCAAAAACTGCCCCGTGCCTCCGTCTGGTCCGCCCCTGCCCAATCCGCCCCGCCCACCCACAGGGCCAACTACCTCCATGGCCCACAACAGCAGATCACCCAGGCAGTCCTGCAGTACCATGACAGCCACGCCCTCCACCCGCGCCCCGCAGCATCATCTGGGTGTGATGGGGTGCGAGGGCGGAGTCTTGTCCCTGCTGCCCAGTTACCATGTCCTTGGCTGCGCTGCTCCACGAGGGCCATGCCTGGGGCAACTCTCCTCCGGGGGGCTGCTGGTGAGGAGGGGGCTGTGGGGGGAGGCGGGGCTGGGACAACTGCACTAGTGCCCATAGGTTCGCCACCACTGCTCTAGTCCATAAACCTAGGATAGTTAATGGACTTTTCAGCAAACCACCATAGAAAGAGCTGAGATTTAGTCAAACTAGTGGAAGACCAGCTTCAAAGCAGTAGCAGCTACTTTATCATAATAAAGTAGCAACAGGATGGATAACACCAACAATGTACTTGTTTGAAGAACCTAGCTCTATTATTAAATTACTAAAAATCTTTATAATTATTAACAATTAAAATATCAAAACTATAAAAAAAACTTTGCTAAAGTAAAAAGCAGATGAAGACATGTTAACAATAGAGACCTTCAAAAGATCAGAAGGGATGAGGCCAACTTCACCTCAGGGGAGACAAGATCACAATGCAGAGATTACGTTTCGTTGTGCCACTCACCCAAAATATTTTCATGCCTCATCAGAACAGTCTGATAGATTTCTGTCTCTCGAAACCAGCTGGCTTCTTCGGTGGTGAAGAAAACTTTGACAGCCACTTTTTCTCCTCGCCACTTTCCCATCCAAACCTCCCCATAGCGACCTTTGCCAATCTGCTTCACCATCTGAATCTGTTTTGCTATAGTCCTCTGTACCTGTTAGAAACATACAATGTTTTGAATTATACCTACTTCCTACTAGACACATTTTTTGTAATTTCTCAAAGTTTGGAACCGTTTGCAAGAATTGATATTTTCTCTTGAGCTAATAGTATTTGGTCTTTGATCAATCTTGCAGGTCTAACTTATCTAGTCCAGCATTCTTTTCTCATTGTGGCTGAAAGATACAGGTCAAAATCAGGACAAAATATACTTTTCAGTTGTGTTCATTTACAAATGATGCTCAGATATCTAGTGAGCTTCTATGATTAAGTAGAGATATGCGATTGGATTTCCCTGGTCTTAGTCAATTCCTTAACCAAATGTTTCTCAACTTTAGCAACTTTAAGATGTCTGGACTTCAACTCCCAGAACTCCTAGTCTAAAATTGTCTGCATAAAGATGCCTATCTAGTATTTTTACATCAAGTTCACCCTGAATATTCATTCAGTTGTGAATATTCAGCTGGAAAATGAGGACAAAGCTCACTTATAAGATTCAAATTCTTTCAACTTGTTTTGAAATGAAAATGAAGTTTAAAAATACAAAAATAAAATGAAATAAAGTCTCTGTAGTTTTAAAAATGGACAAAATATGATCAAAATAATAAAACAAATGCAAGAACTGAGAACCTATATAATTGGGATCTTCTTAGCTCTCCGCCTGTAGCCTCCAGATTATGTCCTGTATTTTTCATGAAAGACTAATTCTGTTATTTTCTTTAGTTGAGATACAATGCAAACAAATTGGGCAAATGATGAAGGTTCTTATACAGATTGACCATTATAATTATGAGCTCAGTACTCTTTTCTTACCAATAGAGGGAGCCCTGAACCACTTCCTGAGCTCTGTGACTGCTCAATGAGGTCTTTCAAGGATTCTCCTGGTGGAATATAAGTCTCATCTTGTTCAAGTCCAATGCTGTAATGAGGAGGTCGCCGTCTCCTTTCTAGCCTTTTATACCTGTGGGTATATATATAAGAATAACTACAGGTGATGCTACTAATAGTGGCTGGTCATGAAAGCAAGCAAAAGACTATGTTTCTACCATTGTTTACTACCATTTTTCCATTGTTAAATGCTATGAATAATTCAGCATTTTAAGGCCTTCATGACATTGTGTTTCCCTGTAAATTTGTACCCTTCTCATTATTATCATCATGTACTTACATTATATCTAATTACATTTAACAATGAGCAAAAATGTATTACCTTTGTGATAAACAGGGACAAGCACATGGCTGTCATGACAAACATTAAGTCCTGAGCTGCCTCCTTTATGAGGAAAAAGAGGCTAAAATCACTCAGTACTAGCAGCCTGGGTGAAATCACAACCATCCTTGCAATGAAATTGAAAAGCCCTATGCTGCCATGCAGCTGGGAGAATGGTAAAATACAAGATGTCAGGTCCACCCTTCGTATTCTGCTGTCCTGCCGTTGTGCTAGGGGGAGGGAGGATGGCGTGCTTGGGACTTTTCTTGCTTTTGCTCTTCGCTTGGGAATTAGGCAGGGGGACCGTCTTCAAAGATGGGACGGACTCCTTCCCAGCCTGTTTTTTGCCAGATTCCAAGGCCGTCGTGCCCCGAGCGTGAACTATTATCTGCCTAGCACCTCAGTATTCTCAAAACATCTTCTTGGCATCACATTGGCTGCCAGTGAACTGGTCAGGGCGGGTTGGGATTGGGAAACCAAAATAATTGCTTTATGCTTTGCGCGGGGCCTTCGGATTCCGCCTGACTTTACTGCACCCAGTTTCTCTCAGTAAAAGTTCTTTTGATTCAAGTCAATGGATTAAGAATTTTACTTTTCTGAGGGCCCGGCTGGGTAAGGTCTGACACAAGCTCTCTGAGTTTGTTCTGAACATAATAAGCAAGCCCTCATGTCTAGTCAGCTGTCCCAGTATACAATTCCCACACTATTTCCTCTATTCTGGGATCAAGACTGATGAACAGAGATTGACTGAACAGGCCTCCATGAGAGGGAACTCTTCACCTTTGGCGTATTTCAGTAATATGTACCAGTCTATCCTCTCATTCACAATTAAATTATGTATAGGGCTCGTGGCCAACACTATTTTCTAGTACATTTTTCACAACAACCGATCACTTCATGAGTGATCGTGACCTGTAAATGTAAGAAATGTACAAAAGTACATAAAGGGATTAAAGTAAAAGCAAGTTTATATGTTACATAAAATATCTCAGAGACTTGGTAGAAAAAGAAAAAAGTGACAGGGATAAAAAAAGAAAAATCCATTCAAAGTGCCAAGGTATACAATGCAATCTAATCAAATTACACAATGGAGCTGCAAGAAATACTTTTATGAATAGAAGAGCCAAATGGGAATCCAACCTAATTAAATCGATGGAAGAAAACAGTGTATTCCAAAGAAAGTTTGATCAGTTATTTTTCCCATGAATGAAAGTGCTTTATTTTATGCTATGTTGGTGGTAGAGTTGTCCGGAGGAATGTAACACTGCTAGTAAAACTAGTAAAAAAATAAATCTGCCATTTCATTTTGCAGGCCAGCAGCTTTGCCTAATTTGTGTACTTTCAGATGTGAACAATTTAGCTCACCAAATACCAGCAGTGGTTGTGTTAGCTGGGGAATTGAAGTCCACATGTCCTGAAGATCCCCAGATTGAGAAAATCTGGTCAGGAAACATAACCTTCTTGATAATATCCAATGGGGCTTATGCTACTTTATTTGTCACTAGCCTATCCAAGATAGGGTAGGAAAAGGGTGATTTGGAAAACCTATGGGAAAATATGGCACACCTGCCAACACCTTCTTAAATCTGTTGGGAATGATGCTAATTATACACATACAAACTAATAGTACACAACTTCAAAAGGGTTTTGTCTCTCTCGTTCTCTCTGTGTAGATGGATAGATGTACTTGCTCTGTGATTTACTGTAAGATTACAATGCTAGGTACCATCTAGTCTATCCAGGTGAGAGATTGGGATCTGTTATCACTGTGAATTCTCTCCTCCATAAATATGCATGAAGGATTTCAGTGGCCAATTTTGGAGCATAACCATCCTTTTCAGGATTATTTACTTCATTGTTATTCTCCAAGAATTAACTTCTTGGATAGGTAGATCACAGGAGGGTATCACCCTTATATGTTTGCATCAACAGTGCTCCTGGTCCTATAACTAATGTATCTACTTGCAACAGGAATGAATGAATGAATGAATGAATGAATGAATGAATGAATGAATGAATGAAGGAAGGAAGGAAGGGAAGGAAGGAAGGAAGGAAGGAAGGAAGGAAGGAAGGAAGGAAGGAAGGAAGGAAGGAAGGAAGGAAGGAAGGAAGGAAGGAAGGAAGTGTTCTTTTTCTAAGACACTATGTTACTCAGAAAGATAAAAACAGAAATGACAAAGACTTAAGCTTTAGGATTGTGCAGTGATCCAGATTCAATAGGAAAAGGATGATTTGCAATACCTATGGGCAAATATGGCACAACTGTCAACACCTTCTTAAATCCAAAATAAGCTTCCCAAGACCATGAGGGACAGTGGCATATACCCAAGAAAAGAAGCAAAGTTCAACCAGGATGTCCCAACATGTGTCATACAAGCACTTGTAAGTCTTAAACCACTATCTACCATATAATGGGATATATGCATCTTAGGCATGTCAGCAAATAAACATAATTATTTTATGGAAGCTGTCATTGAGAATAACATACTGTATACTAGAGCATTATTTCTATGACTCTAATTCACAAAACAGTTCTGCAATGTTTATTTCAACTCTGGCACAACCTGAAGAAGTAATAAAACTTCTAAATTCATTGTTAAATGAAAAAAATGTACAATTTGATGTTTAGTCATGTTTAACTGAGAAATCTAAACATTTAAGACATTTCAATATACTCCTGAATATCAAATACTTTTGGAATTATTAACTCACCCCAAATCCTAAAAATCTCAGTGCTTAATAATTTAAACCAGCACTGATTGCTATTTCTAACATACCAAGCTAACCATCTTTGTTTTACTTTACTAACAACCCCACTTTCCATTTAGCTCATACATACAAGCTCAGTTTTTGTATGTTTTCATTCTGACTGACAAAGCCATGTCAAAAGTATTATTAAAACCACATTGTTCTATCAATCTCCATACAAATCCAAGAAATTAGAACACATTAAAATGATCATTCATGTCAAATTGTGCATGAGCTGTATAAAGAAATAGTCAAGGAAGAAAGCATGATATTTTTTTCCAGACATACCTGAAGTAACAGAATATGATGATGCACACTAAGAGTATGCTACAGACAATCACTGAAATTAGCAGAGCCTTCTGGTGGACATTTCCCTTTGAAAAAGCTTAAATAAGAAAACAAAAGCCATTATTAATCAGAGATAATGTTACTTATCAGTTCACACATATTTTTAAGTAGCAAGCAGGAGGGAATGATAAAATTAAGACAGTGACGATATTAAAAATTGCAGTACCCACATGCAACTTATAAGTTCCTCACATTAACCATTGCTATCCAGAACAGGAGCTGGAACAAAATCACATTGGTTCGAAGAATATGCCTCTCCTGAACTTTTTGGATTCAACCACATTTTATAATAGGCTGAATCACCTTTAAATTCAGATTTCCTTGGTAATTACCCCTATACTGCTTTTTGATAGTTTGAGTATTGTGATGGTAGCAATTGCAGATCCATGGAAATGATAGTAAAATATCCATGGTAAAATACTTTACCATCACTTCCACATATTTGGAGTATTGTTATCATCACAGTATTGTGCAATTGTCAACTATATGTATTGTGACAGGCAATTTATCTCTAGAAAAAAATGAGGGTGGAAGTTAAAGTTCACAAATTCGATCATATTCTGTTCAACTTTCAACCACCATTAACATTTTTCTATAAGAAACCTTGACGCTACATGGATTTAGTAGCAGAGAAATTTAACAGAGAAATGCACCCAGCACCAGGAGAAAAATCAAACGTTTCAGCAGTGGGATTTCCAGGGCTGAATATTAGCAGGGTCTGCAAATAGACTTCATCACTCAAGAGATAGTTAGCACTCATAAAGGGCTGGTCAAAACTTAGCTTAAAAATTAGAAGCAGTTTTTTTTTATGAAAGTTAAATTTACACCAGAAAAACATATAAGCCAGCCTCAAAACATCCACACGACAAATCCTGACATTTATAAATGTTTCCAGTGTAATTTTTATTAGCAACTATGCAAATTCAAGGAAATTTCATTTTTATTAGGGAATGTTGGGATATGGGAAAGTTAGGAGGAAAGAATAAATTCAACTAAAAAAATACTCCATAAAGAAATGAAATACTGAAATCTTTCATACTGAAATACTCTCCAGTTAATATAGTAACAGCAAAAAGATTTACTGTGATTCATATATCTCTAATAGCCACCATCACAAATATGAATAAGACTTTAGGAGGTTATGGTCTCCATTTCAAGTATACATTTCTTTATCTGTGAACTGAAAACTGATCCAGCATGCATCTGGTTGTTTTAGAGTAAGGGGAGATCTTTTGGTGTTCTATATAGCAAGACAAGATGAAGAGAAATAACACCATAAGCTGCAAGTCCTCTATTCTTATTGATTAGTCCTGGAATACGGCTATTGTATTTCGGATCTACCAGCGTGATGCAACAAGCATGTGCCTATGGGACTCTTAGCTTTCTATTAAGCACGTTTACTTTCAAGCTCTGATTTCATCTTCTATTGTAGCCCCTGAGCAACATTTCCTTTCTGGTTTGCCTCTGATGGGAGAGACAGACACAGAATCTATCTTCGGTTTGCATCAGGTTTAATGTTTTAATTTTATAGCATCTACTACTAGGGGAGAGCCAAAACAAGGCTGATGATTTTGTAATTTCTTTTATAAAGGATATGAAAAAAAAATACTTCAGTATCCGTAACAAAAAAAAAGGCATCAAATTGGGCACAACTCACTTAACAACCGCTTCGCTTAACAATGAAAATTCTGGTCCCAACTGTAAATCATGTTTGTAAGTCAAAAACGTCCTGTAATTCCTGTATCTCCTGGCACTCAAACCCATGAAAGTCCACTATCCTGCAGTTTCCCAGAGCAGCGGTCCCCAACCTTTGTAGCTTGGCAGCCGGGCTGGAAGGAAGAGGGGAACCAGGCCACGTGAGTGGCAGGCTGGCATGCATGTGCAGCTCAGCTTGTGCAAATTGAGCTGCATGTGAACGTGTGCATGAATGCATGCCAGCCTGCCGCTCACACAAATCAAGCTACACAAATGTGCGCATTGGCCTGCTGCTTGCACTAGTTGAGCTGCACATGAGTGCCCACTGGTCCATCGCTCGCACAGCCCAGTTCTGAATAGGCCAGGGCCTGGTAGTGGGCCACAGCCCAGGTATTGGGGACCCCTGTCTTAGAGAGAAGCAGCCATGTGGAGCATATGTGGGTCATCTTATGTCTTTTCTTATCTGGAGAGGTTCTGAAGAACCGGTTTATTCACTAGGTTTTTTGTTCTTTGCTAAAGTTGTCAGCTCTGCTTTCAAAGAAATGTCTTCAGTTTGCTATGCCCCTCCTTGAAGTTAGTTTGACTATTTCTTAGATAGGTTCTATGCAATCTCCTGTAAAAATGTATGTATCTGAAGAGACTTCTCTACATTCAGAAATAGCTAATATTTTCCAACTAAGTTTCTTCATTCACAAACTGGAAGTGTTCAGATTTACTACAGTTGCAATCTAAGCTCTGAGAAATGTGCAATGAAAGCCAATCAAACTCAATTTCTTGTCCTATCATCAGTGTCCCGCTTATTTCATCGCCAGCCTGAGAGCCAGACATAGTGGCACCACCATTTCTGTTTGCAAGAGCATAAAATCAGTAATGAGATTTTTTTATCTGTTCTGCCTGAAACCTGCTTTTTTTTCACTTCCAATATTTTTATTCTTTCCAATATTATTAACAGTTTTTCCTGCTTGACTAATAAGCATCTTGCCTAACCAGTATATGGTCTTCTTGTTCTTACAAGGACATTTCATTTTACTGCATAGCAAAGCTGTTTAAAATGAGAAACATTTGAGTGAGGGTGAATGTTCTGTTTTTATCTTGTTTCCAGTAAATTAAGACTTTTTTGCCTTTGTGTTCAGTTAGTTTTCACTCTTCATTCTGACATATCCATGCATACACATTTCTTTCATATTTAGAGAATGATCGGTTCCATTGCTAGTACCTGGAAAAGCACTTGAGAGTACAGTATCTTCTTTACTTTTTTTACCATCACCTCTATATCTGAGTTAATTTTGTAGTTTAAGGAACTACTACTACTTAATTTGTAGTTTAAGGAACTACTGCTACTAGAGGATTTCTCTAGACCCTACTTTCCCTTGAGATATGACCATGGGTCATAAGCTTTCTGAATCAGAAGCAACTACTTTTCACATGACAAGTGAAAAACAGTTGTGTTTGGAAACCAATTTTGGACAGGCTGTTTCCTGATGAAAGAAAAATATTGAGCTGGAGATTTAAATTCTTGATTTTCAGAATAATGAATTAGAGGGTTTTGGACAGCTGACATTTGATAAATCAAAACTGTTCAGAAGTTTAGTAAGATTTCCAGCTGTCCTTCTTACTACTCAGCACACTGTAGGTTTCTTGAAAAAAAAAATTATCAAAGAGTTCTGTGACATCAATTGTCTGCCCCTGTGATTGTGGCTAGGTAGAAACCACAGAATATGTTCTTCGTTGCTCTTTTTATAAAGACATTTGAACCAGATTTATCCTCCTTCTGATCAGCAGATATACTGATTGCTCTGACTCAGCCTTTGCTCAGATGCTGCTCACAAATTAATTGCCTTTTATTTCAGTGCACGTGGCTAGGTTTTGCACAGTAGCATGCAAGGTCACACTTCTGCTATACACACACACACACACACACACACACACACAATGTAATTTCAACTATTAATAACTGTTCTGTAATTTTAGATATCTTCACTCCACATAAATTTTGGCTATTATCACTTCTGTACATTACAGGTGGTCCTCGACTTACAACCTTTTTAGTGACCATTCAAAGTTACGACACCCAAAAAAAGTGACTAGTAACCGTTTTTCACACTTATGAACATTGCAGCATCCCCATGGTCACGTGATCAAAATTTGGACAGTTGGCAACTAGCTCAGATTTATGACAGGTGCAGTGTCCCGGGGTCATGTGATCAGCTTTTGCGACCTTCTGACAAGCAAAGTCAATGTGGAAGCCAGATTCACTTTATAACCATGTTACTAACTTAATAACTACAGTGATTCACTTAACAACCGTGGGAAGAAAGATTGTAAAATGGGGCAAAACCTAACAACTTTCTCGCTTAGCAACAGAAATTTGAGCTCAAATGCGGTCATAGTCAAGGACTACACGTATCACATTTTATGCAATGTTATGTCATACCACTATACTTATAACTTAGACAAAGACTGTGTCTCACTGTTGCTCTCAGACTGTGTCTCATTGTTGCTCTCAGACTTTACTCACAGGTTCTAGTGAGGTTATTTTATAGATGTATTTTAGCTTTATCTCAAATGTTATTTACTGATTTCTTAAAACAGATTTATAAATTCTCATAGTTACTCTTGGACACATTTCTTGTACTGATCTAAGACTATAATAAATTGACTGAACTGAACACCAACTTAATTACTACATGATCTTCAATTAAGTGGGATTGAGTGATTAAAGAAAGAGAATCTAAAGACGAATGTGTTCACAAAGGAGATATACTACACAAAATGATATTTCATATACTCTTCAAGGAAAACATCTTCTTAAAATGAAGTCATTTGTACTGAAAACAGTATGAATTATAGATATTGGGACATATAAACCAGTTATCTAGTTAAATAGAAACAAGCATCAAAGTAATTCACTCCTGCATTTTAAGACTATATTATTAGATAGGTTTTCCTGATTTCAGAGGAGCAAACTATTTAGGAAATCTTCTTAAGGTGAGTAAAAAAGAGCAACATACAAAATGTTTACATTGTAGTATCATCACTGTCATTGACAAACTTACATAGTTTTTTCAAAAATAGATATGTATTAGAAATGAGGATTGGTATTCTTTTTACCTGGATGTTCTAATGGTGGCAGAGTAGGGTGAAGATCTTTATTACAGAAATCCTGATCTGTGCAGCATGCAATTAATCTTCTTGGTTGAGACAATGGAGTGTCCTATAATAATTATAAGTTTTCAGTAAAACAGTTCATCACAATTTTAAACTATAAGGAGACACTTAAAGAAACTGTGTGTGCATGCAAACAGTTCAAGGTGCCCGTCTTAAAAAAATTAAGAGTGCAACTATTTCAACACAGATGTAATCTATAATTCAGGTTGCTTATCATTATCAAATTCTTTTGGATCTTTTTTAAATGTGCAGTTTAATTCCAAAACTTATGAGAAAATGTAAAAAACAAATTAGGATTTGAGTTTGCATTAACACCAAGGGCCCTAATTTAGTTGCATTTACGACTAGATGCAATGTACTGCAGTTACCTGCTTGTGATTTGCTACCTTTTTTTTTTTTTTTTGCTAATTTCCAGCAAAAAACACCCATTGGAGAAGTTGGATTTGTTTAACAATTGTCAAAAATTGTTGTAAAATTGGGTCAGACTCGAATTACAACAGCAACAACATAGGATAGAAATTTCAGTTCCAATTGTGCACATCGGTTAATGACCATTTGCTTAGTGATTGAAGTTAAAATGGCACTGAAAAAAGTGACTTATGACCATTTTTCACATTTGCAAATCCTGTGGTCACATGATCAAAATTCAGATGCTTGGCAACTGGCATGTATGCATGACAGTTGCAGTGTCTTCATCACCTTTTGCAATGTTCTGACAAGCAAAGTCAATGGGGAAGCCAGATTTACTTAACAACCATGTTACTAACTTAAAAACTGCAGTGATTTACTTAATAGTTATGGCAGGAAAGTTTGTAAAATGGGGCAAAATTCACTTAACAACTGTCTTGCTTAGCAATGGAAATTTTGGTTGTAAGTCAAGGATTTATTGTACTCTGCTTTCTTAACAGTTACTACTTTTACAATTCTGAGCAGGATTTTTCTTAGCATTGTTGGCCAACACAACAGAATATTTCTGCTGTTCATATTAATGGCAATAATATTCTCAATTTGTTTCTTTGACCTCGCAAAAGTAATGTAGAACATTAAATATTTTAATTCCTGACAATATTCAGGCTGATTCTGAAAGTTCAAGTTGAGTTTGCAACATCTTCTTACTCGGCATTGGAAGTCAGAACCTTCTAAACCTATGCAGCCTGTAGTAAAAGTCTGTCCTCCAGTATCTTCATCTTCCACCATCGCAAAACAATAGCCATCCGTGCTGAATACAAGAAAAAGAGAAAAATATTTCATTTAGCCAGTAATATTCATGATTCTCATAAGCATTGTTCATAATTCATGAAGCAATTGAACCTGGAAATCATTAAATTAAGTGCAGCAAACATTTATTAAATCAAATGGTATGATGCCCTTTGGCTAGCCTTCTCTGCAGAAAATCCCCTTTTCTCCAGAAATCTTGTACTTCTGGCATATGGGAGTTATTTTCCACCGGTGTTTGACTAGAGAAGAGTAAGTAAGTAAGGCCTGTGCAGCATTTATTGACTTCTAAAGGGTATTATTACATTCAATTATTTGACAAACTGTTATTATGAGCTTTCTGATAGTGATTTTTCCTCATTTCTACTGCTCTGGGGACTGCCAGGAAAACTGATGAGAAAGAGGGGGGGGGGAATGCATGAGCTGTGTCTTGCTGTGGTTTGTTCACATCATCCTTAACTATGGCCGAGCAAAATAGCAAAAGCACAGCCAACTTATCAGAGCAAGGAAATCAGCTTTCCAATCTAGATTGTGGGTTCAATTTGCTAAGGAACAAATTGGCACATGATGAACGACACAGCACGTCTCCAGCCAGAACTGCCTATCACAAAGAAAAACTGCTTTATTTGTTTTAGCAAGAGTGATGGGTGGAGAGCCAATATGCTTGGATTACAATAAGCTGTACAATTATGCAAACTACATGGGGCTCTGATATTCATTTTTTAAATGTATTTTTGGTGGGGGACTTTTTCAGTTTATGTTCAGCTTACAATATGTTTTATATTATAGCGCTACAGTACCGTTTCCTGCTTCCAAGTGTGAGGAAGTAGCATCATTATTTTTTGGCAAACAGTCTGATTTCTAATATGTTGTTATGTCTGTCCTGGAATTCAGGATGAAAGATGCAATATTTAATTACATTAGCAAGAAGCTCTAACTGAGCCAATTCAGGTGTTAATCAGGGATCAATGAGCTAAAAGCAAATAAATGCCCACCCAGGCACTTCCTTTCCTCAGGAGCCTAACTTTTGTGTTGACATTCTAAACTTATTAAAACTATGATGCTCTACAAAGTCAAAATAAGGAAACTTGAGATATAAAAGTTTCCAACAATTCACAGTATAAAAACAGGGTAAGACAAGACCAATAACCAAAAGAAGAAAAACCTCATAATGACTTACAACTGAACTCAAATGTTCCTGATTTCTTAAAATATTGACGTATTTTAGCATTGATGTATATACATGCTCGTGCAAACATACAGACATACAATCAAGTCTGAATGCAAACTGGTTTATTATTACTTTACAGCCTTGCATGGAACAATTAAGAAAGCAGAAATGCAGTGTGTCCTGTTCTATGGTCAACAGTGATTTTTTTAATAGCCAAAGTAAACTTCTGGAAAAAATAATAATAAAACATGTAATAGAATTACTGACAGACCCTGAAAATAGAAGGCAAAGTTTTAATTAAAGATTACCTAGCCCACGGAGTGATTTTAACTAAGGTGTTAGTTAAAAGGGGGGGAACATAACCCAGAAGCTTTGCAGCTGTTTAAGCAATATGATTATCCAATTTCCATCTTACAAGTTGTAGCATCTTAAATATTGATCATGATGAAAGAATTTGGAAGACAATTTTTAAAAATCTTCAAAGGATTTTCAATTCCGATCCCTAGAGGACAACATATATGATTCTTCTCCACACTGAAATAGCAAGGAGAACTTTTTCAAGGGAATCAGTTTGAGCAACATGAGAACCTTGAAACAATAACATTGCCGCCATTTCTCTCTATTTAATCCATCTTTTTTCTTTTGTTCTTGCCTTCCTCTCTCTTTCTCTGCCATCTGTTTTTGCTCTTTCTTCTTCTTCTTCGCTTCTCTCCCACTCCACGCCTTTTCTTTTTTTTCACCAACTGGTTTCCACTCCAAGCAAAGATTTTCAAAGCTCACCGTTCTTATTTGCGCTGACCTCATCAAGCAAATTGAAACTTCATCCTCCTGGAGACACATTTTGAAAACTGTGCAGTCTCTTTTTCATAGGAATCTTTGAGACGAACAGAGGCAGAATCCAAAGTGGACAGCTGTTGCAAGCTACTGAAATTTTAGTCACATGTGACAGATACACTACTACTTATACAGGCTTTAAATACCATATATTTCAATATATACATATTCTTCAAATATACCATATAGCTCCTGTATATTATATGATAATTTATAACTATAAGATGCTAAACACCCTTGCTTTAATTTTCAGAAATATATATATATTCCCTCAGGTAAAAGAAGTTTAATTTGTTAGTGATTACATTTAAGCAGAACTATGCCCTGAAGAAATGTTTATACCATTTATCTCAAGAGTCTGTGCATAAGACCTAAATTCATTTTAAAACTTGTTTTGGATCAGACACAATCCTTCTAAACTGAACAGCCCTTACAACACTATCTACATATTTATTTGGCAAGAGGAATTACTCTCTTAAAGTGCAATAAATCTACTAAATCAATAAAACCAAGTTAGAATAATGAAATCTATGGTAAATAGATTTCACTATTGAAAGGCCTAGTAGCCAATTTAAAGGCTACAAAATCCATACGAAAAAAGCACATTGTGTCAAAAAATTCCTTGTGTATGAAATATATGGTTTACTACTACTGGATTACATGTCTTCTACTATAATATAGACAAAGAAACCAATAGGACAGACAAGATACCTTCTTTATTCTGGGCATATCAAAAAGTGGGTTCAAGATAGAGAAAAAGGTTAAATATTTTGGGGTTACACTGATGAGTTGTCTCTAAATTGTTTCAAGACAATTTTGTAGCTGCATGAAATGATAGTAAATATGGGATAACTTGCAGTTATCCTCATTGGTCAGAATCTATGTAAATAAGATGGATATTTTACTAAAGATGTTATTTTTATTTTAGAGTTTACCAATATTAATAACTGACAGTCCATTTCAACAATGGCAAAAGGATATTTCTACATTTATATGTCAAGGAACACCCCCCCCCCCAAGAATTAGATATAAATCTGCAACATGCTAAAGAAAGAAAAGGTTGGTTTACTAGACTTGAAATAACACTTTGAAGTCTGCTGTTTGGTCTAGATGAAAGAGTGAGTGATACTTTAAAACAAGAGATTACTTGAATTAGAGGATCATGAACTAAGATTAAGACAGCAAGCCTACTTATAGTATAATGAGGCGAAAATAAATGTTGATTTTAAGAATCACTTTGTTTGATATGCAACCCTAAGAGTTTGGAACAAAAGATTTAAAAAAAGGTTCTCCATGAGGGAAAAGGAAGCCTTTTTCGAAAAGAAATGATGGTGGGACCAGACAGGTGGACCTATTCCTGCTTAAGGAACAGGCAGAAATCATGACCAAGATGGCCTTTGCACAACTTCATGTGCCCATTCCTGGATCATGAGGTTCTACTCTATACTTTTCTTTTGCTTTATTCCATTATGTTTTGCATTCATTCATTCATTCATTCATTCATTTATTTATTTATGTCTGATGTTTTTTTATATTGTGATATGGTTTTGTTATTTTGCTTTACGTCTCCCAGAGTCACTTTCTGTGAGATGGGTGACTGTATAAATTTACTAAATTTATAAGATAGTTAACAAGAGTCTAGATAAAATAGCTCAGTATCTGAGGTTTGATAAAATACACACTCTAGCTTTACAAAATAAGGTTCTTTGTCAATTAAGATGGCAAAAATCCTCAATTTAATATGGATTTATCTACTGTATATTTCTCTTCCCTTTTTCTTTAAAATACCATGAATACCACCTTCTCTTTTTTATTTGTAAATACCTGAAGATCCAATTAAGTTTTTGACTGGGCAATTCAATAAATCAAGTAGTACATTTGAATCTCACAGCATTTGACTCGATTATCCAAAATGAGATTTAAAAAAAAAATCTAATACGTCATTACTCTCATTGACAAATAAAAGGAATCAATCAACTCTCAGCCCACCTCAGAGGATTGTTGTTGTGGGAAAAATTAGTGGTACATGTCGTTTGTAAAAACAATAAAGGTGGGATGCAGATAAACAAATAAAACTTCTGTATGACATTTTTGTTAAATTATAAAGAAATACAGATAGTCCTTGCTTAGCGACTGCCCTCATTAGTGACCATTTGAAGTTACAATAGTGCCGAGAAAGTAACTTTACCACAAACATTGGAGCATCCCATGATCATGGATCACCATTTGTGTACATCACAGCTGGATTCACATGGGCCAAGTCAATGAAGTCAATGGCAATAAAATCACTAGTGGCTGTCCTATGATATCTTGCTTAAAGATTGACTTTATGAGAGCAGAGAAAATGATATCACAACTACATGATGTTTCACTTAACAATCGCTTAGTGATAAAGTTGCTGGTCCCAATTATAGCCCTTAAGTAAGGACTATCTGTAGAAGCAAGATAATAATAATAATAATAATAATAATAATAATAATAATAATAAT